CTGCTCTCAAAAAGCTCTCCCAGGAAGGATGCTTCTCTGACCAACTGCAAAGGCTTTTGCTCTGCTGAGTCACTCACACTGTACCCCTTTGGGTCTCATTCGGAGACACCCTCCAAAAAGACACTGCCCCTCTGCTGCACCTCTCTTTGTACTCCACCTGGGAACATTCCTTCTCCCGCTCCCCCCACGCCCCCTAGCCTGTCTCCTGCAACATTTCAGACCTCTCCACCTCTCTCCAGGTCTGAAGCCCAAACATCTGTTTTTTTTCTGTCACACGGCATGGCCAGGCTACCCGCTGGACAATGGCTCTCACTGACAGAGCATGATACTTTTGATTTTTGTTTTGCAAGATAAGAACTAATTAACGGGAGGTAAGAGTTTGCTTTTATGTCTTGATTGCTGAATCATATTAGGTCATCATAACTGTCATCCTTGTTTGCCACTGCTTGTGCCTTTTATAAATTATTTTAGGCTTTGGTTTATATCCCTTTGTTAAAATGATTATGATATTACTTTAAAGAGATGTTTTACTTGGGGTGACAAGGTCTTGTGCTATTGTTTGACATGCTACATTTAAACTCTTTTGACCTGTTTGACTTGTGACTGCTAAGGAAAAGTAATGTTAGATCGCCATCCAGTAGAGTTTGATACAAAATTCTGTACGGTGGGTCTTTTGTAAAATCTTGTCTATATTCAGCTGAGGTTTCTGTCTATCCCTTATAGAACACTCTAACCAAACAGTGGTTACTCTGCCAGCTAATAATCACCCTCAGGGCAGCTGCCACTCTCAAAGCGGAGCACAGATTTCTCCAGTGCCCCTGGGGAATCCCCATGGCCAGTGGAATGTCGACCAGATGAACAACTGAGCTCCTCTCCAGAGACAGATCTCTGATGGTGCAGAAAAGCAGAAACTGCAAGGACAGCAGAGGGCTCATGGCGGGAGCAGCTCTCCAGCGGACACCCAAAAGCCCCTCAGTGGAAGCTAGGTCTTGACAGGACTGAGTCGGTGATCAACAGGCCACCCCTACTCACCTATTTTTCCACCTGCGCTCCTCAAGTCCGGTGAAAGGCAGCCCTTTCCATGATCGTCAGGTGTCCTGTGTCTCAGAGTGACCTGAAATAATGCTGCTAGTGCCCTTTCTTAAGCCTCTGTCAAGAGTCAAGCTACATGTGGCTGGGGATGTAGCTCAGCGGCACAGTGCCTGCCTGGCAAGCACAAGGTCGGGAGTTCGATTCCCGGTACCGGAAGAAAAACAAACAAAAAAAAAAAAAAAAAAAAAGTCAAGCTACAGGTCTGGACTTTTCTCTCTTTACTAATAAGTTAGAAACCCAGTTTTTCTCCTCCTTTCTCTTCCATCCATGCCTCCTCCACTTCCCTCCCATGCCAATTCCTCCCTGACTTTTCTGTCACCTGACTCTTGCCCCGCACCACGTTCACCTAGACCTGCTGACCTTGCAGAACAAGCACCAAAATACAGGCAGGCTCTGAGGGGCTACCCAGAGGGGCCCTGCTGTGAGCCAAAGTGCCCCAGCCACCACACCCAGGCACTAGTCCTGGCCAGGGGTCCTAGGCTACATGAACCCAGCACCAAGTACCTGCACCCAGGATGCCCGACCTGCCCTGGCCAAAGCCTGCTTGCTGCCCTCGCAGCCCAGGCAACATGGCATAGCAGGCACATGGCACTGCCATAGAGGCCAAGATCCAACTGGCACTCATACACACAGTGAGACCACAGCACCTACACACACGGCAGACCATCTGCATGGTGCCAGGGCCAGCCCGGAAAGAAAAATGCAAGCTCACATGGCATCCCCCTTGCCCTACCCGATGCCAACGGACCTACCTGGCTGCACCTACCAGCACATCCACGACCATGTCACCCGGGGCCGGGCCACACCTTGCAACCCCAACCTCCGCAGCCACCACACTGCAGCTGCCTGGCTCCATAAGTGAGCTGGATACCTGATTGGGACTACAGTTTCTGAGTCCATGTTCCGCTCTCTGTCAGATCTCTCCCAGGTCAGCCAGCATCTGAACTCCTTCCTTCAGACACTTAAAATCCATTTTTCTCAACTCACCAGAAGTTAATTTTAAACTCCTTGATTAAAAACTGCTCTTCCATCCCAGAGGTTAAGCCAACAAAACTTACAACTCTTTGCCTTTAACAGGTACGACAACTATCAAAAAGC